TATATATGATTAGGATTTTTAATGAGCTATAAAGTCACCTGAAAGACAGATAAAAATCTCCAAACGAGATAGTGTTGAGTTGTGTGAGTTAGTTTTTGAAGGAAACTTATTCAGGATATATCCTAGTAGTACCATCTTTCTTCTCAGCTGTGATTAGCCAAGAAATAATCTTTGTGAACATTTCTTTGGGTCATCTCTTGAGGAAATACTCCAAGGTCAGTTGTCTTTTGGTCCAGCTATCCAAGAAAACCAAGCTGTAGTCCATCAAGTCTGATTACAGTAAACAGAAATCAATTCAATGAAAGAAAGAATACAATCACTGCTTTTCCCCTCAGGCCACCTGCTAGATTTAAAGGTTCAGAATTAGATTATGGCCATTCTTGTTTGTAGCCGTTTTCTAAAGCACGGATGTTTGCTTATTTCTTAGAAATGGAGCCACATTCATTAATGCAATCATGGCTGAATTTTGTAGAAATAATGCATTGTGTCGTCTAGAATATGACCTCTACCAATTAAATAACATCACTTCATTGGGTGCTCTGGGAGTCACCTGCCAGGTCTAAGCACTGTCAGGCTGAAAGCAGCTTTGGGCAGGAAGAAGCAAAGTTAACCAAGCTGATCCCAGTTTAGAAGGGAGAGGGATGAGAAATGGAGCTGGCTGACAAATGGGAAGAAAGGCAAAAGACAGAGAGGCCGATGGTTTCTTCTAATGTCTGCTGATAGAATTTTTGAACTGAGATTATATGTGGGCAGCCAAGGAGGCTGAAGGAGGAGTAATAAAAATACCATGAATCCTGCTGGAATGTCATGTTCTACATTATTTTCCCACCATTTGTGTGTGTGTGGGGGGGGGGGGGGGACAAAAATTTCACCATGAACGGCCAGAAAGTACAGCAGTGTTACAGGCAATTATAAAGTATACAGTAAAGTTTGTTCCGAATTACTTTTTCACTTTCATCCATCCCAGGTAGCTACAGGGGATGAGGGAGGGAAAGGTCTTGCCCCCTCAGCAGTGATTTTCTGACCAAGGAGTAGTGTTAGTCATGCTTCCTTCTCTTGTCCATAAACGGGAGGAGAGCCTACTGATGCTATCAGATGCATTTAAATAAGGCCTGCTCCAGGGAAGCCCTCAGAGCTGACTCCCCATCCTGCCTCTCAGCAGCAGAAGCTTGTTTTCTTTCGTTTCCATGGGAGTGCACGCTGCTTATAGCTGCGTGGGTCAATCTGCCACAGCAAACCGGGGCAGACAGTCTGTGGGGGAAAGTTGAGATGCGCATACTCCGTGTCAGGAGGAAAGGCTGAGGTGGGAATGTAGCCACCCAGGGTTAGAGCCGCAGCGCTCACAAGCGTATTAATCTTCTGTAGATTAGAGCGGCTGTCTCACCCATTTATCCTTTCATTCACCTTTCAAATATCCAGGTCCCTCCATGACGGGCCAGGCGTTGTGTCTGATGGGCAACCCTGTTAGAGTTTAAATCATTTCCGAAGGGCTGGAGAGATGGCTCAGCGGTTAAGAGCATTGCCTGCTCTTTCAAAGGTCCTGAGTTCAATTCCCAGCAACCACGTGGTGGCTCACAACCATCTGTAATGAGGTCTGGTGCCCTCTTCTGGCCTGCAGGCATACACGCACACAGAATATTGTATACATAATAAATAAATTAAAAAAAAAATCATTTCCGAAGAGGGTTAGGATTCAGTCAGGCCAACTCCAATTTCTAGGTTTATGAAGACAATCAGCTGTACTTCCTCCTTAGTGAACTCTTAGGCAGTATGATGCAGGCAGAGAGACAATGGGCCAAGAGCTGGAAATCCTGGGTTCAAGTTCCAGTTCTATTACAAAGCACTTTGCGACAATGGGCAAGTTACTTAACCTCTCTGGCTCTCAACACTCCTTAAAAAATGAGTGAACAGCTAGATTCCTCCCATCTCTAAAATTCTATATTTCTTTTTTTAAATATTTATTTATTTATTATGTATACAATATTCTGTCTGTGTGTATGCCTGCAGGCCAGAAGAGGGCACCAGACCCCATTACAGATGGTTGTGAGCCACCATGTGGTTGCTGGGAATTGAACTCAGGACCATTGGAAGAGCAGGCAATGCTCTTAACCTCTGAGCCATCTCTCCAGCCCCCTAAAATTCTATATTTCTATATAGTAACACAACCATGAAGCTGCCCATGACCAGAACTAGTCTGTATTTCTATGTAATAACACAACCATGAAGCTGCCCATTGACCAGAACTAGTCTGTATTTCTATATAGTAACACAACCATGAAGCTGCCCATTGACCAGAACTAGTCTGTATTTCTATATAGTAACACAACCATGAAGCTGCCCATTGACCAGAACTCGTCTGTTTCTAGCTCATTTGCTTTTTTGCGCACTTTCAATGTTAGACCAAATATGAACAAGAAGTAATATTTTGTCAGAGCTAACAAACTGCCCTTCCATAAAATGACCTTTGGAGGTCAGGCCAGCCAATGCAAGATCTAAAATCAAAGGCAATGGTGTGACCGACCAACTGTGAGCTGGCAGACTGCCATTCAAAAGGATGGAAATGCGTGTAGGCAGCCAACATTCTTGGCTGGTACATTTTTAATAAACACAGAAAACAAGAATAGCATTTTCCTCTTGGATCACTTAGTTTGGTAGCCATGCCATTGGGACATTTGCTGTTAGGATAAAGATGCTGATGATATACAACTTATTTAGACCAGGATGGATTAACTTTTACAAATGAGAACCAGGTTCTCATCATTTCCAAGGAGTTTTTTATTTGTGTTTCTTGTCTCTGACAAGAGAGTTTGAGTCATTACAGTGGTATCTCCACCTCTTTAGTTCTGGTGACTTTTATCTGAACATAGGTGCTGTTGCATTTGCTGTATTGGTAGGAATGGACTAAGGAAAACTGGAGTGAATATGGTTGAATATGCATCTTCATTCCCCCCAAGATGATTCAATATATATTAATACTCTTTTAAAATCAAGAATGAAGGCTTCCATAGCAAATGTTTTTTTAACTTGTTGAACTCTTGAGGTGTAAGCATTTTAAACTACAGTCATGTATATACAGACAGTGTACCTCATAGTCGAGATGTTTGCTAATCATGGCATCATGGCTTTGTACATATAATGCATGGGGTTGCTTGATATGTATATTTCTCTGTCTTTTGTCATATGGCAACAAGGACATTTGACTGACAAGGCTGTTTTCTCTTCAGTCCTTGGAGATCCTTGAATAAAATGCTCTGTGATGGCAAGCTGTAATTAGCTATGTGGGTGGAAATTAGTGTTCTCCAAGTACACCATGTTTAGGGCAGAGGCACCCTGCTTTTTCCTACCCGAGGCCACCCTGGTCCTGTGCCACAGCTCTAGGTCACTGCTTCTTGCAGGGCTTCCTTCCAAAAAGCACATTGTCTTTGTTAAGCTCTGAAACCAGGAGGCTTTTCACAGCGAAAAACAGGTTATGCTGTTCTCTAGACAAGTCAGGCATTGACCAAGGGATGACTATATTACGTTTGCTTTTCATTTCAAAGTGCACATATTCCCAGCATTCATAAAAATCTTTTGAATAGTAGCCCATTTTATAAGGAACATCAAAGTTTTGAATGGATTCCTGCAGTATTGGTAGGTCCTCCATTTTGGATGCAATAGGAATCCCGTAGCAGTAAAACCTTTCTGTCCTATTCCAGGCATCTTGAATACCGCACACACAAGAAGGCTATTTGTCCAGTTTAATTTTTTTAGCAGAGCATTGGATTTGGAGCGGGGCGGGGGGTAGTACCCCTTTTATTTATTTACAAATTCGGGCTTCTCAGACGCCCCCTGCACCATCTGACTGTAACACATTCCCCGCGGCGTTAGTATTGTACATCTATCTTTTCAAGGAGGTGAGCTCCAGTCTAGGTGAAAGACAGAACATTTAAAATTATCCTCAGTTCCCATCCCTCCCCGCCCCCGGCCGGGATTCCCTTTCAGCTGGTGACGACAGAAAGGGTTCCACGGGCTGCGTCTCTCGCGGCTGCACAGGGTACCGCGTGCCTCGGGCCACTGATGCCTTAGCTCTGCGTGCGTGCGTGTGTGTGTGTGTGTGTTGTGTGTTCATGTGTGTGTGCGCGGTCACCCGCGTACCGTGCACGCGTCGGCCGAGTCCCCAGGTCCCGCACGCTCGGGGGTCCTCGGGAACCCGGGGGACGACAATGACCACGTCTTGCGTGTTCGGGACTCCCCTACACCCCGCCCCTCACCCGGAGGAGGGGAGGGAGTCGCGCCGCAGCGGGGGCGCGCATGGGGGGGAACACACGACGACGGCGACTGCGGGATGTCAGCCCGTGCGCCGGAGTCCCCTCCGCGATCGCGCCCGGCTAGTCACGCCCCCCGCGGTCCGCTCCTCACCTGGGCCACCGGGCGGCCGGGAGGGCCACGGACAGTGAGCGGGGTCAAGGGCAGAGCGGGCGCCGACCCCCCCACCCCCCGACCGCAGGGGGCGCGGAGCCGGGTGGGCGGCAATAAAGGGCTGCCGCCGCCTCAGCCGCCTCCCTCGGCCGCCGCCCCGCAGCCCCCTCGCGCGCGCTGCCCCTCGCCCCGGGAGGGAGGGGGAGGGGAGCGGGCGACGCGGGAGCGGCGGGGGCGGCGGGAGGAGGGCGGCGCCTGCGTGCTCCTCCGCCGCCCCGCCCCCGGCGCCCCGCGGCGAGCCCGGCTCTCCTCCCGCGGCTGCAGCAGCTGCCGGTTCCTCACGGCCTCGGCGGCGGCGGCGGCGACGCACTCGGAGCGGCCTGTGGCGCGGACGGACGGGCGGGCGGACGGACGGACGGGCGCGCGGCCCCGGCGGCTCCCGTCTGAGGCGAAGGTTGAGGCTCGACGGGGAGGAGGCGGCGGCCGCCGGGGACCCTACTCGGCGCCTCGGCCCCTGCGCCCCCCTCCTCAGCCCGTGGTCGCTCGCGCTCGGCGGGCCGGCCGGCCGGCGCCTCGCCTCTGCGCGCGGAGATGGTGTAGCCCGGTCGCCCGAGCCGGAGCCGCCTCTGCTCGCGCGTCCCCGCGGCGTCCGCCTCCCCGCCTGAAGAGAGACCCTCCGCTCGGCGTCTCCCGCGCCGGGGAAGCCTCGGCGCCGCCGGCACCATGAGGTGAGGGGCGCGCGGGCCGCCAGCCATTGTGCCGCGGCGCCGCGACCGCTCTGCGCGGACCCGCCTGCCCCCGGCCCGCGGCGCCGGCTCTCCCGGCTCTTCCCTGCTCCCTTTTGTCCCTTTAGGGTTTCTCCTCCCGCCCCCCCCTCCCGTCCCCTCCCGTCCCCCGCTACCCAAGCTCTCAGATTTGGGGGAGGGGGTCCTTCGTGTTCCCTCAGATGCTCTTCTTTCACCCAGGATTCCCCTTCCTCAGTTTAATTCGCCTGCTCCCTCCTCCCTCCCCCAGCCTCAGCTAGCGAAACCCAGGAGATGGGGAGGGGCTCGAGATCCGTAGCGTGCTTGTTGCCGAGGAACAGGTATTTTCCGTGTAGATGTAAAAATTCCCAGCACTTTTAGGACAAAGCTCTAGTGTTTAATTAAAAAAAGGGGGGTGGGGGAGGAAAGTTTGAGAGGTCTGAAATCTCTGCGGGGAATGAAGTGCCTCTGGTAGGGGTAAGCAGAGGAGCGGGGAAAGGTAAAATTTCCCGATGGTGGGGGAAGGGAGGGAATTTACTAGGTTTGCACTGGCGGGGGACCGCGAAAGGCTGGGACAAGTTGTTTGAGGGTTGTAAGCCCGGGCGGGGGAGGGTTTTGTTTGGAAAGCCCTTCTCTCCCGTTCTGTAGCAGGCTGTGTTGCATTGCAGCAGTAAGCGGCTTTTCCCTTCCTCTGTAATCAATACAACAGTTTCTCCTTTCAGCCCCTAAGGAAAGAATTGGCTGGACCGTCGTGAAATGCTTTTTTTCTTTTTGATTGATACGATGAAACATATGGTGTGTTATTTCTCGGGTTTTTTTTTTCTCCGATTGTGTAGGAGAATAAACCATGATGTGGTGTGTCATTCATTGGAGGGGACCCCCCCACCCCCCCGCGCCCCAAGCCTTTCCTAAGCTTGTTTTGTGTCCATAACCTCCTGGTTCTGGATTGGTGCAAGACTTGGTGAGATCTGGGCCTTCGTAGACCGGAGGCTGATCCATTTTGCGTTATCATCCTTAAAGGCCTTCCTTCTTTTAGGTTAAACAATTGTGGACGAAGTAAACTACTCCACGTCTTTCTCTGGAGATAGTCTCTCAGTTCATTTGGATTTGAAGCTCCTTTGTGTTAAAGATTAATGGCCAGCCCTTGCCAAGACCTTTATAATGTAATGCCATGAGATTTGAATGATACAATTATGAATTTCCTTCTTTTTGGCATGAAAATGTTATGTCATTGGGATTTTTTCCCCTTATTTTTAAGTAGGTTCCGCTTTCAACTTTAGTTTTTATATTCCTCCCACTCCCCACCCCAAATCAGGGTTGAACATAGTCCCAGGTCACTTTTAAGTATTTTTTGTGTTGTGTTCACTTAAGGTTACTGTGAATTTTCCCAACTCCGAGTGTCATATCTTTATTTATGTTAGTCTTAGATTTTTGCTTAATGCTAACTGACCTCTTTCTTTTCCTTAGTGATTTCACACAAGCTATTTCAAATGTTTAAAAAGTAATTATGGCATACAAACCAGAAACCAAGATTGATCTTTGTAAAATGCAAGATGAGAAACTTCAGCTATATTTTTGTACATTTTTCTTAAGCTTAGTAGCCTTGAAAATTCAGGAGCTGTTAACAAAATCCATGACTGCTCTGTCATGTAATATTACACACTGTTGATTTCTACTTTAGTGACTTAATGCTGTAGAGGTCTCGTAGAACACGTTAGTACACTGCTTTTTCAGACTTGGAGTAATTTTCTTAGCATTAAAAATAAAGATTTAAGCTATCTGAAAGATTTTGAACAAAATACATTGAAGTTTTTGGTAAAACTTATACTGTACATTGTCTGTCTTGGGTAAATTATATCTGGACTTACAAGTTCTAGTTTCCAGTAAAATGTAACTTGTTTTTTAAGCTGTTTTCTTACTATACTTCTTAGTAGTAATAGAGATGGAGAGATCACACTGCAGTATTTCCAGTAGCATGAACATCCTCCGAGGTCTAAGATGTTTGAGCAGTCTACAGTAATTCTTTGTAGGCTGATTTTGAATAATTTAAGAGCAGAAAAGAGGATCAGCTAGTTTTTCACTTTGAAGGGCTTTGTTCGGTAGGTGGTGTGTTCAGCTTGGGCAGGAGCAGTTAGCTACTTAGGTAGCTGTGAGGGTAGGATGGCTTGATATGAGGTAATCTCCAGTGCTGGGAGCAGTTGTTGGGATACTTTGGTGCTTAAGAAAGGACTTCTGCTAGTATTTGGTAAATCACAGATGCTGTCAGGACTAAATGTTAACCTTCTAAGGGGTTCTTTTTTTAAAGTTATGTGAAAGATAGTTTTGGTGTTTCAAGGACCATCCAGAAATAGGAATATTGAGTAGAAATTTCTATTTAAGTTGGTCAGAATTTGGAAGAAATAAGTGTCTTGCAGTATTGAGTATTTGTGGTAAGATCTCTCAGATGATTTAATTTTAGGAACAGCATGTATTGTCACATAATGTAATCTTATACAGACGGGAACTAAATGCTTAACATTCCTGAAAGTCATAAGACATGCTCCACATTTAAATGCTGTGTATAGAGTTATGAAATTTTGATTAGAGGTGGACAGCAAAAAACATGGTTTAGTATTTACACAGGACCGTGGAAGAGTTGATGGGAAAAAAGCCACAGACCCAAAATACCAGGCTGGCATTTGTAGTAGCCTGTTGAGTTTTTGGTTCTGTTTTGTGTGATGCTTCAGAAGCGTATTCCTTGTGATCCGAAATTGTGTGTTTGGGATTGCAATTTTAAACACTAGCTGATCACTTAAAAATTTACCTTACCTTTTTTAACAGAAAGAAGAGTCTGTTAGACTTAGAATACTTAGCTCATTATAGTCTGATCTCTTGGGAGAGCTTAGAAAATTTTGGATTGATATTTTTAAGCCATATTGTATGGCCCAGGCTACTGTAACACTCACTAGATACTCTGACTTTCTCATGTAAAAAAAGGCATAATGGGGTTGTGAGGATTGACCAACGCTATTTACTGCTTACTGAGTGGCCTTGAGCTAAGCATGTAATTTCTCTGTCTCTGTCTCTCTCTGTCTCTCTCTCACACACAATATGTACAAATCAGTGGTAATTATCAGTATGTATTTATGTATGTAACTGTGTATAGTTTGCTTTTTGTGACAGGGTCTTAGGTATTGTGTGTTGTCCTCAGATGCAAATCTATAACTGAGGATGACTTTAATTCTGATTTTTTTTTTCCCCACCTGTAACACCAGAATGCTGGTGACCTGCACAGCTTCATGCTGTACTAGGAATTCTACGCAGGGCTTGCTGCATAGTAGACAATCATTCTGCCAACTGAATGCATCTGTGCCCCCCAGTATATAGAGAGGTAATTTTTGACTGAGTTGTGAGGATCAAATAATAAATGCTTTGTGGGCTTCTTTTGTTTTGAGATTAAAAACTTACTTATTTTAGACTAATTGCACAAAACTTTAGAGTAATTTGCTTTACCATTGACCTTATTTAAAGATGCCAAATAGGTTACATTTTGTGGATGTAGTTCAGTAGGTAGTGACTAATAGGCAGATAAGGGCATTGATAACATTTCTGGGATTGATGAGGAAGAATGCCATATATTCATTAGTAATGTTTGCTTGAGATATAAGTTCAGAGAGTGGTCGGTTACAAGAATACTACTAATCAAACTGCTTTATGCCCAGCCATATTGATTAAGTGAGGAAACAGGTTTTTTTTTTTCAGCTTTCTTCCTGTGTTTATGTTTGGTCTTTGAAACTTTTTATGGTTTTGCTGTTTTAAGTTATAGTAATGATAAATTTAATACATACTTGAGAGAAGTGCAATCAAGGGACAGAAAATTCAGGTTATCTGAACTGTCTTGCTAATTGAGCATATTGGTAAAAAGATAATCCTATTATTTCACAGGATTTTAGTGCCACGTTATATATCTGTGAGAGGATGAAAATAGTCGTCTCTACTTCCATGGGTCTCCATTTGTGCTTGCAGCTGTTGAGTATGTGACTCTTCTACAGATACTTATTTTAGAAGTAGGAGCCTCATCTTCAGTGTTTTTGAATATCAATATTATAGGTATTAAGTGAATAAGCCTTGCATATGAGTGTGGATAAGTAGATAAAATTTATTAAACTTTATATTGTATTCAGGGTTTTGGGTATCTTATTAATCCATTTGGAATAAGCTAAATAATTAGTCAGGCACCATTTGGCCAGTAAAGAGAAAATTACATTAATTATTTTAATATTTTATTCTACATACAACTTTAGTTTAAGAGATTATTGCATAACTTTATTGGGAGATTGGAAGCTAGTAAAAAGATACTCAAACCCTTGTTTCCTTTCTCCTCCCTCTACACCTTCTTTGAAATTAATGGGTAGAATTGAGGGGATGTAAAACTCCTAAGAAGTGATCTGAGTTGAGGAACCACAGGAGATGTCTCTCCAAATATAGATTTGAGGATTTTGCTTTACGGAAAAACACAAAGAACCAAGAGTCTTCCTTGTGATACCTTCTGAGTAGTCCCTAAATTGCCCCCCCCCCTGGTTCTAAAGGATTTGATACTCTTTTCCCAAGTCATACCACTAGCCCAGTGTTCTCCATTTTCATATTTGTGTTACCAGTAAAATACGTGGCATATACTGCCTATATCCAAATGGATTTGACATTGTCTGGTATTCTTTTAGAATCTTACGTACTAACAGTAATAGTCACAGTTTTGGAGTGCCTTGTAACATTCTAGAACTGTACTGGGTACAGCTTTGGTAGGATGTGGTGTGGTATTTGCAGATTGAAAGTACTAATAAAATTACTTAAACAAAAATCAGCACCACCAGCGTCACTGCTACAAGATGGATGTAGAACTGGTTTCTTACTTATTACCAAAGCTCACAAGTAGCCAGAGCCTCAGATTCAGGTTTGTTTACCCCCAGAGCTCGTTGGACTGTATTTCCTTGACTTTATTGTAAAAT